CAATTCCTTCTCATTTTTCTTAAATGAGCTTCTATTTTGGCATCTTACATTTTTGTCAGTGGATTCATCCAATTTACTGCTGTGTGAGTTACATTATTTTCTCATAATGAACAGTTAGTATCAGCTAGCAAATCTTGCTTTTGTCAGCTAGGCCATTCTAAAATTGAGTCACTAAATCCACAGTTAGATTCTTTTTACTCTAGATCTCACTGGAGACAATAGGGAATTAGGGTTCCCCTTCCTGCTGCCACTGCTGATATTGCTATAGTCTTTCTCAGATCTGTAGAGTTGGGCAGGGAGTCATTTTCTGCTGGTAATGTCTCTAACTTCCCCATCTCAGCTTCCTTCCCCATTCCCCAGCTGAGTTGTAGTCCTGGAAGTGCGGCCAGCGGTGATAGGCCAAGGGCAGCTCTGAGTTTGTTGGTTCTTCGAGGCCTCTCCTGGTATACTTGCCTTTTTCTCTCTTTTTTTACTCACCATTGTCACCCACACCCAGCCACTCCACCTCCGTAAACCTCATCTTTCACATCCTGGATTTCAGTGTTTATTAAATCAAATCAAAACAAAACATTTTGCATGTAGTGAATGCAATCCACCAAGCCCTGCTGCCAGATGCTGCCAGTTCTTTTCAGAGGGGTTTATATCTGTATAACCCTTTCAGAGGGGTCTATATCTGTATTAGGAATATCAGCAGTTTGTTATCATTCTTGTCTGTTTGCTGTTCCAGAGTACTCCAGTTGTATCATAATCTACAGAAAAGGTATAATAAAGAATTAAAAACAAACCAAGGACAATGTGAAACCATTGCAAGACTTTCTGTAAGTTCTGGTCATATGATTTCATGTAAACTCTTACTTTAAAAGAATGCTCAAGATTTAGGGCTTGTCCACACTGGAGTTTACTGTGTGTTTTCAGCTATTTGTGTTTCCATCTAATTTGCATAGTCCGCATGACATTTCCCTCAAACAATGCCAATCTCAGTGATTCCCTACTGTAAATTAGGTTTTATCTGATATGGGGATAATACAATAAGTAGTGGGGTGTTAGGGGTGGAGTCTTCTTTAGGCTGGCATTTTAATGACCAAGATTAGTCAAGTGTTGGATAATTAACCATAATTTAATTGGACATTTTGTTTTTATTGTGCCTTATTTTATTTTTAACTGTTACTATAAGATCCAAACTCTTGGGAAGCATGGGATAGACATTAGCTTTCAGCATCTGATGTAGCAAAGGTGATTTGCATAAAGAAAAAAATAAGCAAGCAGATATTTTCTTTAAAACATGGCTGCGTGTTTAAGATCCTGTGGGTTAAACCACAGAGCCTAGGACTTGCCGATCAGAAGGTCGGCGGTTCGAATCCCTGCGATCGGGTGAGCTCCCATTGCTCAGTCCCTGCTCCTGCCAACCTAGCAGAAGAAGAAGAAGAGTTTGGATTTGATATCCCGCCTTTCACTCCCTTTAAGGAGTCTCAAAGCAGCTAACATTCTCCTTTCCCTTCCTCCCCCACAACAAACACTCTGTGAGGTGAGTGGGGCTGAGAGACTTCAAAGAAGTGTGACTGGCCCAAGGTCACCCCAGCAGCTGCATGTGGAGGAGCGGAGACACGAACCCGGTTCCCCAGATTACGAGACTACCGCTCTTAACCACTACACCACACTAGCAGTTTGAAAGCACGTCAAAGTGCAAGTAGATAAATAGGTACCACTCCGGCGGGAAGGTAAACGGCATTTCCGTGCGCTGCTCTGGTTCGCCAGAAGTGGCTTAGTCATGCTGGCCACTTGACCCGGAAGCTGTACGCCTGCTCCTCAGCCAATAAAGCGAGATGAGCGCTGCAACCCCAGAGTCGGCCATGACTGGACCTAATGGTCAGGGGTCCCTTTACCTTTTTTTTTATGGATGAAAGACATTGTGTTTAGTGTTTGGAGTTGCTTTCATAGTGCATTTATTGGATTGGAGCTGCTTGCACCTGTGCCAACAGATGAGTGTAGCTGACAGCCCTGAAGACGCTTGTAAAAGTTCATATAACTGACACAAAATGAACAATATGCAATATATGAGATGTTGCAGGCATAGATTGAGTCAATAATATTTCTCATTTCCATCTCATACTTGCATCTTTTGATTTTGACGGGAATCTGACTCCTTTTCTCTCACATTTTTGTTGCTAGCTTCTGATGCCAATAAAGTTCAGTAAAGTGTGTAAAGTGTGCTTCCAAGGATGCTAGATATAGTATTAATTTAAATGCTTATTACAAATACTCTACTATTTTATCATAGATTAAAATTAATGATATGGAACACCAACTTCACTTAGCAAACCAAAAGATGAAGGAGCTGGAAAGTAAAAAGATGTTACCAAAGGACAAAACTGATCAACTACAGAAAAAAAATGGGTCTTACAAATGTGTGTGTAAAAAGAAGGGGAGCTGTTCCTGTAAATATTTAGGTAAACATATACCGGTACTATGTGATCATGTTTCTTCGGCATGTTATGAATAAAATTATTAAAATTATAACTGAAACAGTATCGACAATATTCATGGAGGTTTCCAGCTAGCTGGGTTAAATTCCAATACTTTATTTGATACAGGGCGTTATTAGAAAATTGCCTGAAGATATAAGCATATTTTAAAAATTATAAATCTGTAACATGATTTTATCTTTTAGTGAGCTCCTAATGGTTTTTATTGTACTATAGACCAACTGCTTTTTGAGATTCAGCGTCTGAAGATGGAAAATGAATCATTATCTAAAGAAAGAAGAATGTTGAGAAATGAGCTTGCTGCATTAGATAAGGTAACTTTATCATTGCTTATTGCACTTATATACCACCTTTCTGCCTAAACATCCAAAGTGATTTAGTTTTCAAATACTAAAACAAATAACTGTTATAAAATGTAAAGTGGGGGAGAGGGGACAATCTGACTGGACAGGTCGCAGGATAGGGGCAGTCCAACAGTTTAGGTTTAATAAATGAGCAGTTGAGTTCTTTTCTTTGACTGGTCTTTTTCAGTGTACAAAAAAACCAACACCCCAAACTAACTGAGAAATTAACTAAAAAATCTGTAATCAAGCCTTCAGTACCGCACTGTGATCTTGTCCAGAAGATAAGTCCTCTAATTACTTGTTGAATAGGATTTGGCACACATTGCAGTTCACAAAATCTTCCATTGATTAGAATCTTGCATCTGTTAGATGTTAAGAGGAGTAATATTCCAATCAAATTAAAATTTGGACTTTTCATTAGCAAATCTTGAGTTCTTTTTTTTTTTTAAGATGGTTTGTTTCCTATAAGACTATTTCAGTGATGAATACAAGAATGGACAAACTAGGAAGTAGTACTTAATTAAAATACTGTGTGTGGTATTACTTTTTAGGATTTTTTTGATGAAATAGAAGATCTAAAATATGCACTTCAAGAAGCCATAAAACTTAATACTCAATATGAAAAGTGTTTGAAACAACTAAGTTCAACATATGGAATCACTTTTACATCAACTTTAACAGCTGGTAGCCATCGTGGAACTTTAAATAAATCGTGGAAATAAAATGTTCAACCAAGATTATGAATAAACATTTTAATATTGACTGTACTTTGTAATATTAACTTGCTTATGAGGAAGGCGCTTATTTCACAATAAAATCATGACTTTGACCAATTTTTAATCCTTTGCATAATTTTGCAGTGCCTTTATGCCTTTCTGAATTTTGAATAAGTTATTTCTCAGTTTTGGATGGAACACTAAACTTTGGTTTAGCATTATATGAATGTACCTGCATGAACTTTGTTCTTGAAAACCCCGGTCCCCTCTCTTTCTGCAGTATGTGACAGAGGTCAGAAGCATTCAGTTTTAATTTGAACAAACAACAGATCCTCATTATACCCCAGGGTGCATCATTGTGGTTAGTTCAAACAAGCCATGATGAAACTGATATATTATTATTAATTACATTTATTAGATGCCTTTTCCCACCACAAGCAACTCAAGGCATTTTTACAAAACAACAAACACAACACAACACATTCATTAAAATTAAGCTGGGGTGGGGGTGGAGAAACAAAAACACAATCCATGTATGCTCATTAACTATAGTTCTCCCACCAAACTCCCTACAGGCCCAACAATACTTCTGGGGCAAGGTATTTCATAATCTGGGCATGGCCATTCCTGGCCAATTGCACCTCCACTGCAAGTGAGACATAGAGAAGGATATTTTTACTGGGTCTTAGAGGGTGAGAGGTGGTGGTCCCCAGTATATCCTTCATCTGAGTTGTTTTGGGCTTCAAATGCAATCACCAACATTTTGCTTTATGCTTGAAAGGGAATCTAGTAACCAGTACAGGGCAGGAACAAGTACCCATTAACATGCTTGCTGCTGTATTCTGGGCGAAATGTAACTTCTGAAGACGCTTCAAAGGTAGACCTGCTGCAGTTATCCAATATGGAGAGGAGTACTTCCCTACCAAAACCAGTTGAATCCCTATTCCAGAGTGGTCTCACAATGAGCAGCTCTTAAATCTTGGTTAGAGTAACCTTCTGTTAAGCTACATCTTGCCACTGCATCAGGCAGCAGATCCAAGATCAAGTGGTTTCAAAGGCTCACAAGTTAAGGTGCCTGGTTGGCTTCTCTAGGGAGGGCATTCTGTAACTGGGATGCCACCGCCCAAAAAAGCCTTTTCTCCAGCAGCTACCAGTCGCTTCACACTTGGCGAGGGCCTCTGGCCTCTGAAGATGCTACAAAGCTTACAAGCTTCTCACAGGCAGGAAAAACACAAAACAGAGAGGTGGGAGAAAGGAATGCTGTGTGTGCATGAACTAATGAATAATGAAAATGAATAAATTTGAACGAACTATTGTTTCCTCTTGCTAAGTTAATGAAACCAACTACCCCGTGTCCCCTGCCTCGCCCTTGCACGCCCTCCGCCTCAGCTGTGCAGGGACAGCTGCCCAGGATAACCATCTGAGCGAGCAGCAGCCGCCATGCTCCAGCCGAGAGCGACGCGGCGGCCAATCAAACTGCTGCCTCAGCGGCGCCAATGAGAGGCGCGCAAGGCTGGAGAACGAGGCGATTCAGGAAGCGAGGCATCCAATAGCAAGTGCTTCGGTCGCTTTCCTGACCTCCGGAGTGGAGCGCTTAGCCGTTCCACGGATGCCGCAGGAAGCGCCACTCCAGACGTGCGGGGGACACGTGCAAAGCGGCGGGGAGTTTCTCCGTCCTCCGTCTCTTGCACGCGGGGAGCCTCGCTCCGCTCCTGGCGGGAGTTTCCTCTCAGGGGTGAGTAGCAGCAGCTGCAGTAGCACCACCATGAAGCGGGTTGTTTATTGTGAGAGGAAAAAGGTTTGCTTCCGCCTTCGGTAGTTTCCCCGTAGAAATGCCTCCCCTTCTGCAGGAGAAAGTTATACAAGCCTGGCTTTATTCTGCCTCTTTGACCTTTTCCCAGGTCTACCAAAAAGAAATATTATTGTTGGGGCTTTCCTTCTTGGCGGTAGGAGGGTAATTGTGATAGAGGCGGGCTCGTTTTCTCTGCATGATGGCATTTACTCAGTACCTGGGAGATGCTTGGAAAGTAGTCGGGTGGTTCTTAACAGCTGACAAAAATTGCAAGTCGCCTCACTGATCCATTAGGTAAAATTAAACATCGTTATCTCTCTATTTCCATCCAAACACAGCCGATGTATAATGTCTTTGTTACAACCAACTAAAAACGGGTCACAACAGTAGCGAGCGAGCTTTTGAGTTGAGCAGAGCTCTTCGCCCTTGGAGGTTCCACACACAAAATGGCGAGAGAAAAGATGCATCATTCCATGGCTTTCACCTGAACTTTGCTGTTGCTTCGTGTTAGCTCGATTGTTACCAAAGGGGTTCACTGGGTGAACTACAGAAATAAATATAAATTATTGGTATAATTGCAAACAGAAGCGTTTTCAAATTAAGGCAGGTAGCTGTGTTGGTCTGAAGCATTCGGGGGGGGGGGGAAAAATCTTGTCCAGTAGCACCTTGGAGACCAACTACCGTAAGTTTGTTCTGGGTATAAGCTTTTGTATGCCTGCACACTTCTTTGTTTGCACACGAAAGCTTATACCCAGAACAAACTTAGTTGGTCTCCAAGGTGCTACTGGACAATTTTATTTATTTCAGAAGCGTTTTCATCACACACAGGAACATCTTTGCTCTCCCTCACTTTTGCTCTCCCCTGTAATGTTGCTCTGAAGAAAATTCTGGTGAACTCAAAGGCTTGCTTTGCTACTTGATGACATATTAGTTGGTCCTAAGGAATATATTATACTATTGTTGACTTAGAGTAATATTTATAGAAAGCTTTAGAAGGTATTGTGCTACTTAAGTAATTCTTACACCAGTCCTGTTAATTAGATCACTTTTATCAACATTCTCACATTGTGTTTTGCAGCCTAGAGGAAGCAGCTTGGATCACTTACTGAACTCATAGTATTTATTATTTTCTGTCTTCTGCAGGATTCCTGTCTGATGTGAAGAACAAAAATTGAAACACACATTTGGTTTGGTTTACTGGCCTCAGTAGGTGGATATTGGTACCATCTGTGGGGAGAAAGACCTGCCTGTAGGCTGATATGGCACTTTTGCACTTTAGGATCCCGAACAGTTTTTCGGAGAAGAGAGGAGGCACTTTTGCACTGAAACTTTTGTGTTTTACTCTTTCTGTGTTCCTTTTCTGTGAATTTTTTATTTACTACATAGTTATAATTCAGTGTCACTGGCCGCAATTGAAAGCTCAGGCTCCAAGGGCTACTGAAAAGACTTCCAATTCTGTCTTGAAGGCTATGTTTTTATCAGATACTCATTTACTAGGTGAACTCAGTGGTCACTGGCTGGACAAGCTGAGAAGGTAAGAACTAAATATCAGTAACAGGCAGCAATTTATTGTAAACATATATTTTTCAGTTGGCCTCTGCATGCATGAAAACCAGGGTTATGAACCACTAAATACCTGTGACTTGTTGATTATTTACATGCTAAACCATTCATTCATATTTGAATATTGCCAAAACTTTAGTATATATCTATTGAAAGAAGTGGATTTTTTTTTTTACAATTTGATAATCATAAGCTATTACTCATTGTTTGAAGGAATCATTACTCTTAATATTTTCTGATTCATTGCATGTTGCTGTAACACACCAGAACCAAAATAACATAAAAAGCACAGGTATTCTGAAATGGTTTTAATGAGTTTTATACTGTTATCAGAAGACTGTCTTAAATTTGAGAATCCAGAATTGTTATTATGGTAATATTTGAAGTAAAACTCATTTTGCATTTCTTAGGCTCTGCAACCTTTTGGGGAGTGCAATGCAGACTGTAGCATGGGGTTAAGTTGAGCTGGTATAAAGTATGCTAGATCCAAACTGTTCAAGAAGGAGCCAGGGTATTGCTGGCCTGAGGCTGGCAAAGGGGAAACAAGACTTTAAAATAGAGTTTGACTTATACCTTTTTGCTGGCATAAGTTTCACTGGGTTGCCAGGACACATGACTGAATTCAACAGAGTTATAATTCAGCATAAGCCCCTTCCCCCATTTCACCTCTCCTGGAATGGCACATGTTCTACTGGTTTCAGTTAGCCCTGTTTTAGTTGGGATGAGGCAGTTATGCCACCATATTTCCAGCTGAACTGAGGTTGGGATCTTTATACTAGTGTAGTCTGGCCGAGCTGGGAACTTGCTGGCTGAGCCAAAGGTCTGCCACGTTCTAACTTGCTCATTCTGGCGAATCTAAGGTTAGGATTGCATCCTAATTGAAACTGTTTTTAATACAAGATGTGCTGTGATATAATAATATTGAAGTCTTTCATCAGCCTATTTCTAAAGCTTCTTTATTTGGACTGGTAGTATAAACATGGATAAAAGAATGGAAATCCCCTTGGTAGCAAAAATTGTTCAAAGTCTTACCAATTAAAATTGGTTCCCAACTGATGGAATGGTAATATCCTGACTATTGCTAGGCTAAAATATAGTCCTTAGAGTTCACACAAATAATTCATGTTCATTCACTGTGTTAGAGGAGGTAATGACTGGGTGTAGCCAGGCTTGATGGTTATTTGATCTCATGATGGCAAATTATTCACTTCCAGCATTCTACATCTCTCTGTGTGTAGAAAAACTTGGCTAAAGCAGTGTTGTTGTTTTTTGCTATCAAGCTGACCAGATACCTTGTATGCTTCAGTCCAAGTAAAAAGGAATAAAAAGTGCACAAATTGAAATTGCAAAATTTCAGCCTCTGAGTTTTAAAATAAATTATGCTGACACAAAGGTCAGAGGCGGATTTAGCGGTGAGGCACCTCAGGGGAATGGAAGGTGAGAGGTGGTGGTGATGGGAAATTTTAGCGTCACACAGGGCACCACTGAAATTTGAGACCCCCATGGTCTGCCACTGCAAAGGTTCAACCTAATGGTTAGAAAACTCAGTAGAAATGTATGTAAAAGAATCCATATTTTTTTTAAAGAATATTTATTAGCGTTTTACAAAAAACATAGGTTTACAGAATAAAGAGAATTAAAACAAAAATTAACAATCTAAAAAGCAAACATAGAAAAAAGAAGGAAAAAAATACAAAATACAAAAAACAAATAGCTAGGAATTTTTTTAAAAAATAAATCCATTTTTCAATATCTTTAGGCTCATTTACTTGTTTCCTTGACCTCCTCACACCTCCCCTTTTTGTATTCCCATTTACAAAGTCATTTCAGCAAATCCTTACCCTCTTTCATTTATCTTTACTCTATATCTTAACCTATTATAACTATATATTTTCATCCATTATCATCCCATATTTGCATATTCTTGTTAACCTTATTACCAATACCACTTATTTTCAGTCCAACATCATTTTAACATTCATTAATTTTACAGTATTTCTGCAAGTAGTCTTTAAATTTCTTCCAATCTGTAAAAGAATCCATATTTAAACTTGCATCACTTGGAAATTATATGAAACCCATTGACCAGTAACCCGTACATATTTCTAGCATTCATTCAGAAGGATCACAAAATCTATTACTTACAGTCATGCCCTGCAATACAACCACATCTCTTCAGACTTGTAGGATGAAGACTCATAGTTAAAACATTTACCTTAGGAACTACAATAGGTAAAGGTAAAGGTACCCCTGCCCGTATGGGCCAGTCTTGCCAGACTCTAGGGTTGTGCGCTCATCTCACTCTAGAGGCTGGGAGCCAGCGCTGTCCGCAGACACTTCCGGGTCACGTGGCCAGCGTGACAAGCTGCATATGGCGAGCCAGCGCAGCACACGGAACGCCGTTTACCTTCCCGCTGGTAAGCGGTCCCTATTTATCTACTTGCACCCGGGGGTGCTTTCAAACTGCTAGGTTGGCAGGCGCTGGGACCGAACGACGGGAGCACACCCCGCCGCGGGGATTCGAACCGCTGACCATACGATTGGCAAGCCCTAGGCGCTGAGGTCTTACCCACAGCGCCACCCGCGTCACCAGGAACTACAATACCCACCCAGTATAGTGGAGACAAAGCAAAGCAGGTCAACATGGACAGATTGGTACAAGTGCTTATAATATTCACTTAAGTATGTTGAACTGATACCCCTTTTTATTCTCTTAGGGAATGGCAGATGGAGAGAGCCTTCCAAACTGCTCTCTGGCTTCTGCAGCCAGAAATAGTCTTTATCCTGGGTGATATCTTTGATGAAGGGAAATGGAGTTCTTCCCAGGTTGGTATTGTGTGAAACATTAAAGTGTTCATGAAGCAAAATAAGATTTCATTGAAAGTGTTTTGCACAAAAGAATGAGACCAGGAAACTAATATAGTTCTTTTAAAGCTTAGTTGTTCAGTCATCTTTGCTAACCGGTATCCTGATCAGTAGCAATTAAGTTAAAGAACTTGGAAGTCATTGGGCTCTAAATTCTGCTTTACTAGGTAGCACATTGGACTATGTAGTTCCTACAGGCATATTTGACAAGTACCAGGCATTTGCTTCAGTGCTTTTAGGAGAGATCTGTTAACACAGATATGTTACGCTTTTTTTGCCAGCAGTTCCTAGTGCTTAATTTAAGATGAGGTGAGAGATGCATCAATAATATGTAGGCATTCATCAGCTAGCAGTAAGCTACACATGGGATTGGTACAAAGATTTTCTGTCCATAGCAAAAACGAGTGAGGAAAACCTAGATTGAACATTGGAAACTTCTTACCCATAGGTCAAATTAGATCCACTAAAGTTCCTAATTTGGCCCACAGGGCCGTTTCAGCTAACTATGACCACCTGTGTGTCACATTTGGATTTGACCCACCAGATGAAAGTGCTTCCCCACTCTCGACCTAGAAGATAGAGGCTATTTGAAAATGTGTCTGCATAGGTTTTGTTGTTGTTTTTGCTATTGTCAAGTTAAAACTAGGTGAATGTGCTGAGTAGATTATTTTTGTGTGCGTGTTAAAAGCTGAGGGTGGAATTAAACATTGCACTATTCCATCTATGCAAGTATTCCAGCTTGCCAGATGGAATAAAAGTCCCCTGCACTGTTCTGGGGGCTCCCCCCGCCAGCCCCAGGGCCAATTTTGTAATATTGGAAGCCCTTGTGCAGGTCTTGTGAAAGGGGTCTTTAGGTGAATCCCATCTTGGATTTCCACTCAGCACATTATTTAGAATACTGCAGCTGTAGGCATAATAATAATAATAATAATAATAATAATAATAATAATATTCTGCCCATCTGCCTGCATTGCCCCAGTCACTCTGGGCAGCTCTCAACAAAACATTAAAGACACCGTAAAACATCAACCATTAAAAACTTCACTGAACAGAGCTGCCTTCAGATGTCTTCTAAAAGTCAAATAGTTGTTTATCTGTTTGACATCTGATGGGAGGGTGTTCCATAGGGTGGGCGCTGTAGTTTCACATTTTTCAGTGGAGGAACCACCAGAAGGCCCTCGGAGCTGGACCTCAGTGTCCAGGCTGGACAATGAAGGTGGAGATGCTCCTTCAGGTATGTAGAGTATTGCTTTAGTGAGTCACATGACTGATTTAGCAAGCACAGAGACTCTGAGAAACAATTTATGTTGACTTAAGCAGTTAAGGATTGTGAGAATCTATCCTTTGTCAATATTAGTGTCCAGTTAGTCAATACCCTTATTAGTGCCCAATTAGTCATAACCCTTACTCAGAGTCATGCAAAAAGAAATTTGATGCTATATTTTGATAAATATTACTGAGTTACTGATTATATATATATATATATAATATATATAATCCCGTGAAAATCTACGAAAGCATATATATATATATATATATATTTTGGTGTCCTCGGGTGTCTTCCCGTGTAAAAGTTGGGGTGTCTAGGCGACGTTTCGACGAGGTCTCACTCGTCATCTTCAGGCTGGTGCTTTCGGCTTCTTGTTACTGGAACAGAGCAGGATCTCAGTGTTTGAGTTCCTATAAATACTGTTGAGGAGGTGTGGTGTATAGCCTCCAATGTTCTGGGCAGAGAGGAAGTTCCCAGGCTAGTGTGCCTTTTCTTCTTTTGTTCTTTAATTACTGGAGGGATATCTGGAGTGATTTCTTGAGTGATATCCTGAGTACCACTTGGGTGGGTCATTAGGTGTGGATTAGTTGCACGAATAAATGCACGTATCGCAGAACACAAGAATGCCGTCAAAAAAAAAGAAGAAAAAACTTCCTCTCTTTTCCAACACATGAAAGAAACAGGACACGAAATTAATTTTGCAGATTCCAAATTGCTCTTTAACATGGAACATCACCACAAGAGAATAATCATGGAAGCCATCGAGATAGAGAAACACCCTCACAACATGAACAAGCGTGACGACACATCCCGCTTGCCAGACATCTGGAAATTAGCCCTCCCCACAAAAACCGACACCAGATCCAGAGGCACACAGAACGCCATCACCAATCAACCACACCAGACCCAAACCCAGACCCTCTCCACAGATAAATTACAGACACCATCCAGTAGCCAAACCATGGTGGAACCTCCGGATACTGCACCCCCCTGCAATCCCTACACAGATCTGGCTGGCACAGGCCACAAAACCACAGCTCGCCCCTATACACGAAGCCAAGCCAGAGCCAAGTTCAAGCCAAGTTCAAGAGGTCAAGACACGAAGGCTTCAGCAACTAATCCACACCTAATGACCCACCCAAGTGGTACTCAGGATATCACTCAAGAAATCACTCCAGATATCCCTCCAGTAATTAAAGAAGAAAAGGCACACTAGCCTGGGAACTTCCTCTCTGCCCAGAACATTGGAGGCTATACACCACACCTCCTCAACAGTATTTATAGGAACTCAAACACTGAGATCCTGCTCTGTTCCAGTAACAAGAAGCCGAAAGCACCAGCCTGAAGATGACGAGTGAGACCTCGTCGAAACGTCGCCTAGACACCCCAACTTTTACACGGGAAGACACCCGAGGACACCAAAACCTGCATTCCTGTACCCGTGAAAATCTACGAAAGCATATATATATATATATATATATAGGGGGGGTGAGGAGTCTCTGGCATTCAGGCAAAACAAGATGCTCTAGGCACTTCATGGTCCAAGAGGCCATTTTCCCCAGGCCATTTTCCCCTGACCCTCACCTGGCATCAAATGATGGATGTAGAACAGGTGGAGATGTGGCTGCAAAAAGCAGGACTAAATTCTTCATGCAGCAACTGATGTGTGGGGAGTTCAGTATTGCTTAGGAATATTTCCATGGGCCAACTTTGACAGATGGGTGAGGTGGTCTGCCTGTCAAGCACATGATCTCAGATGATTGACATGTGGATGGTCCTGCCCATGTCAAAAGTTGCCCTTGCTGGGGTTGAGGAGAGAAAGATTTGCCCCAGTGTTCACATTACTTTGATTGATTTATGTGGGCTTAAATGCATTGTTGCAGGTCACTTATTTGCAGTATTAATGCTGTACAACCATAATATGCTTTTAACCGGCTCACGGTAACAGTAATGACATATGGCTGTTACTGACAGTAGAAATATGGGGCAAACTGCAATAACTAATGATAGTGATGAAAAATTTAATAGTTATTTAAATTGGATTATATACAGTTAGAACCTTTACATTTTCCTGCAGGCCTGGTCAGATGATGTAAGACGCTATCAGAAAATGTTTAGGCATCCAGCCTCTGTTGAGCTAATTGCTATTGTTGGCAACCACGACATTGGCTTTCATTATGAGTGAGTAATTTTTTTTAACAGGATGCAGTATTGAGATGGGAATTGTCAAAATGAGAAGAACATTCCATTATAAAACTAAATGCTTTAAGATAGGTTTGAATCTATGGGGGGGGGACATATTTCTTGGACGCATGCAAAATCATACAGAGTGTTGCTTTGTCCCTTCTTCTGCCTGTGCACATAGAGGGCTGGAGGAGCCTTGCCCCATATTCAGTGTTAACATGCTTCAACCTGTTGGGAGCAAGAAGTGTGCCATGTACAGTGGTACCTCGGGTTACAGACGCTTCAGGTTACGCGATTTCGGGTTGCGCACCGCGCCGAACCCAGAAGTACTGGAACAGGTTACTTCTGGGTTTCGGCGCATGTGCAGAAGCACTAAATCACGCTTTGCGCATGCGCAGAAGCGCCAAATTGCAACCCGCGCATGCGCAGACGTAGTGGTGCGGGTTGCAGATGTGCCTCCCGCACGGATCACGTTCGCAACGCGAGGTTCCACTGTAGTACTTATGCAATACTGAAGTCAAGTGTTAGATACATACCATTATATGCAGCTGCTGTGGACTTAAGTTGTAGTATTGCAAATTTACTTTAAAAACGTTTTTGAGGGAAGCTTCAATCCACTTCCAGCTAATGCACCACCACGTCTTTTAATGCACTTCTGAAGTGATGCTTCCTGTTTTGCTGTTCTGCAGCAGCTCCATTGCTGCAGGTTGACTATAAACGTGGAGCATTAGCCTGGTTGCTGGGGCAGTGGAGAAATGTTTTGCCCCTTTCAAGAATTCCCCAAATGTCAAAAAATTAAGGATAAGGGGAGTGGAAATGAGTGCAAAACCTTTTAACCCAGCTGTATTGTGGACATCAAGGCTTCAGCTAGAGTGATAATCCCTTTTGCCTAAAAGGATTCTCTTTTCAGCATCAGATCCTGTGTTACTAGCTGATTGTGGTGCCAGGATTGCAGATCACTTGGTGTTGTTTCCACCCAGCTGTTCACACTCTCAGTTCTTTGCCTGTTTTCTTTTGAGGACAGGTTTTAATACTGAGCTGTCTTTAACTGCCATATACTACAAGCAGCTAGATAGGAATGTACAGTCATACCTCGGGTTGAATATGCTTCGGGATGAACGCGTTCGAGATGTGCTCCGCGGCAACCCGGAAGTAACGGAGCGCGTTACTTCCGGGTTTCGCTTTTGTGCATGTGCAGACGCTCAAAATGACGTCATGCGCAGAAGCGCCAAAACGTGACCCGCAGATGTGCGGACACAGGTTACATTTGCTTCTTGATGTGAACGGGGCTCCGGAATGGATCCCGTTTGCATCTAGAGGTACCACTGTATAGGTTTCCCCCCCCATAGAGGTGAATTTATTTACTTCAAGAAGGAAGTGATTTGAGCCCTGACTTGTCTGACATCCGGAAACTGGCAGATAAATGGAAGAATGCAACAGCATGTGTATGAAAGTCAAAGGGAAAAATGTGAGAAATGAAAAACAAAAAGCTGGTGAAAATAAATTGCTATGTTGGCCTCCAAAATACACAGGCGCAAAATGAAAACTAGTTCAAAACCAAAATCTTGTTAACATTAATGATGATTTTTGGAGAGTAGCAGTTGTGAGAATTGTGTGAATTTTGAGGCATTCAATGCTCATTGGAAAGTCTGCCCCACGGTTGTGAAGCACTTCTATAAAGGAACTGCAATGGACTGTACTTTAAACTAACGTTTAGATACACACATTACCTGACTGAAGCTTGAGAGTTAGCTTTTTAAATTAAAGCTTCAGAAAAAAGATCAATATAACTTATTTTAAATTAAGTAGATTTTTTTTTAAATTTCACACAGAATGACGGAATACAAGTTGCAACGTTTTTCAGAGGTTTTCAATTTCACTTCAGAGAAGCTGGTAACTCGGAAAGGGATAAAGTGAGTCTTTTTGTTGTTGTTGTTCACTTGCACCTTAAATATTTATTTACATTTCGTATCTGCCATTGCCAGGAAGCTATCAGTTTTAACTTTGTGTGGGGTGTAAATTCATGAAATGGTTGAAGACACTTGTCCAAGTTGGTCTGCAGCATTTGTATCGTAAGTACATATTTAGGCTTCAGTCTTGCACATCAACCTAGGAATGAGGCCTCTTGTGCACTGTTATGTTCAAAAATATCATGCATATTAATATAGAGGACGGTAATGGAGCTTAAAACAATATCCGTTTTGTTTTGTGCTAAGGGATCAAAGAATCATCCATAAGGAGAAGGTTGCAGTTTCAGTTTTCAATTGGTTGGAGGTCCACACTGGCAAATAAGCATGTGCACACGTAGCTCACTCCCCTTTGCATTTTCTCCCTTTCCCACACATGCATGTCTTCCATCTTTCACCAGCTTGGTTGGCACCTATCCCAAGTAAAGAAGCAGTTACTAAAAAGGGGAAGGAATGTGATGTTCCACCTTTTCCACAGTGAATGCATTTTTCCTAGGTGTGATTCCCATCTTACGTGCAGCGTGTCCTTCCTTGTATCTTTAGAAATCCTGCACCTGCCTGATGTGACCCATGGAGATAAGATTGGGGCCACATGGTTGCAAGGAATGAGATGGAAAGGTGAAGAACCCCTGATTTGGCCCAGGGTTGCCAACTCCTGTTGTAAGCATATAAAATGATGTAGAATACTACGCCTTTTGGATCGTCAGAGTGGCTGAATTTAGGGCAGTGGTTTGAGAAAACACTGCACTGCAGGATGTCTACCTTGTTGAGTTTTCCTGATTTTGAGCATGGAGCTGCTGCTTACTGCAGACATACTGCACATCAATGTCATTATTTCTTCTCTTGTACTTGTAGCTTTGTTATGGTGAACAGTGTTGCTCTTGAGGGTGATGGCTGCATCATCTGTAGAACAGCAGAAGCAAAGCTTGCAGAACTCTCCCATCAACTCAACTGTTCACTGCAGGTAAGGATAGAATTACCTCACTGGGAAGCTTCATCCGTGTATATTGAGGTGCTCAAAATAATCTTTCTAAACTGGCTTCTGTTTGTGATTTCTTGGCATACATTGTTTTTGCATACATTATTTTTATGTGTGACTTTCATTACCGAGAAGTTCAGTTGCTCTAATGTGTGCATGGAGTTCTTGCACTCTCCGCCTTATCACTTCATATAAGGATGTGCTGTTTCTCTTAATGCTTGGAAACCTGCTTCCTCCTCCTCCTCCTCCTAATAATAATAATAATAATAATAATAATAATAATAATAATTTATTTCTACCCTGCCCATCTGGCTGGGTTTCCCCAGCCACTCTGGGCAGCTTTCAACAGAACATTAAAAACAGAATAAAATTTCAGACATTAAAAACTTCCCTGAACAGGGCTGCCTTCAGATGTCTTCTAAAAGTCAGATAGTTACTTTATTTCCTTGACATCTGATGGGAGGGCGTTCCACAGGGTGGGCACCACTACTGAGAAGGCCCTCTGCCTTGTTCCCTTTAATCTCACTTCTTGCAGTGACGGAACCAGCAGAAGGCCCTCAGCGCTGGACCTCAGTGTCTGGGCTGAGCGATGGGGGTGGAGACGCTCCTTCAGGTATACTGAACCGAGGCCGTTTAGGGCTTTAAAGGTCAGCACCAACACTTTGAATTGTGCTCAGAAATGTACTGGGAGCCAATGTAGGTCTTTCAGGACTGGTGTTATATGGTTTCGGCGGTCACTCCCAGTCACCCGTCTAGCTGCCGCATTCTGGATTAATTGCAGTTTCCGAGTCACCTTCAAAGGTAGCCCCATGCAGAGCGCATTGCAGTAGTCCAAGCGGGAGATAACTAGAGCATGCACCACTCTGGCGAGACAGTCTGCAGGCAGGTAGGGTCTCAGCCTGCGTACCAGATGGAGCTGGTAGACAGCTGCCCTGGACACAGAATTGACCTTTACCTCCATGGACAGCTGTGAGTCCAAAATGACTCCCAGGCTACGCACCTGCTCCTTCAGGGGCACAGTTGCCCCATTTAGAACAAAGGAGTCCCCCACCCACAGTACTTCTGTCTTGTCAGGATTCAACCTCAATCTGTTAGCCGCCATCCATCCTCCAACCGCCTCCAGACACTCACACAGGACCTTCACTGGTTCTGATTTAAAAGAGAGGTAGAGCTGTGTATCCTCTGCATACTGATGAACACCCAGCCCAAACCCCCTGATGATCTCTCCCATTGGCTTCATACGGATATTAAAAAGCATGGGGGAGAGGACGGAGCCCTGAGGCACCCCACAAGTGAGAGCCCAGGGGTCTGAACACTCATCCCCCAACACCACTTTCTGGACACAGCCCAGGAGAAAGGAGTGGAACCACTGTATAACAGTGCCCCCAGCTTCTCTAGACAGTCCAGAAGGATATCATGATCGATGGTATCAAAGGCCGCTGAGTGATCCAGTAGAACTGGGAAACAGCTCTCACCTTTGTCCCTAGCCTGCCAGAGATCATCAGCCAGCACGACCAAGGCAGTTTCAGCCCCATGATGAGGCCAGAATCCAGATTGGAAGGGATCCAAATGGTCCGCATCCTCCAGGCATGCCTGGGGTTGTTCAGCAGCCACCCCCCATTAAAATGAATATAAAAACATTTATGGGTGAAGTATCTGCATGGCGTTAGAAGAGCCAGCATCCCGTCACTGAATTAGGGCATGTGAAAATAGTGATTGTTGCAAAGGTAATTGTATCTGGCTTGGGCACTGAACAGTTACACTGCTTCAGCTTTCATTACCTCCACTCTCTTCCACCTCTGGGTGGTAGTATTTGTTATTAAATTCCATCATACCCTTTCTCAGAGGAACGTAGTGCTAAGCCAGTACTTGAAATCATCATGGACTGGATGAAGGCCAGTAAACTGAAGCTCATCCCAGATAAGATGGAGATGCTGTTGGAGGATGCTTGACCATAAGAGTGCCATCCTGTTCTGCATGGGGTAACATTCACCCGGAAGGACCAGGTTTGTAGTTGGAAACTACTCCTGTCACTTGAGGTGCAGGTGGCTTCTGTGGTATTCCCTGCTTCCACAAGTTTAGGCTGGTGCAACAACATTGATCTTCCCTGCCTACACATAACTGACCATTTTCCATTCCCTGATAATTACTAGATTAGATTATTCCAATTTGCTGTGTGCATGATTTATTTTGAAAATTCAAGTTAGTACAAAAATTAGGCTGGCAAATTACTAACCGGGATCATATTCCACTGAATATGACCCGGGTTGGCATTTTGGGGCACAGTTCTAAGTGGTGATGATTAACTGAAGTGTGGTGACTGGAGAAAAGGCCTCCTGAGTTCTAGCACCATTTGTGCAATGCCATCTTCAGTGAGGCTCACTGGCTGGCAAATCTGATGTATTTTCAGCAGACCAATTTCCTTGGCATTTTTAACAGTAAACTAGCTGCAGACTTTATATTTCTTGTTGAACCTTAGGCTGTTTTAACTGCTGCTTTCTGCTATTTGTCACCCAATTGTAGTTGTGTGTGTGTTGTTATTGTAGTAGTCCACTTCCAGAGTGGAAGTTAGGGTTTTGTACAAGTAGCCATTTTTCTATCTATCTCATGATACACCTGCTGTCTCCACCCTGTGTCAGCAGTACTTTGTACATGGAAGACACATCTTGTGTTAGAGCTTCTAGACGGGGAGTTGTCTTTCCATAGGCTGGACATACTAATTTCTCAGGATTTTTCCTGAAAACAGCCTCCTTCTATTTGCTCCTGTATCGTGTAATACAGGAGTGTGTACAAACACTTGCTTGGTTTTTGTTGACAGGAACAAAGTCAGTCCAGAAAAAGGTGCAGCGATGTAAACAAGCTCCCACCTACAGCTCCAATTCTATTACAGGTGTGTTTGTGTTGGGAAATGGGTCATCTTTGCACTTTTATTTAGCATAAATGCATTATGGTCTTGTTAATGTGCTGTTTCCTTCTTGGTTTTAATCCCTTTCAGCATTATCCTCTTTATCGAAGAAGTGACGCAAAATGCACAGGAGAAGATTCTGCTCCTTTGGATAAAAAGAATTACATCTTTAAAGAGAAGTACGATGTGGTTTCAAAAGAAGCTTCTCAAAAGGTATGTTGAATGTGCTCTATCTTTGTCAAGACGTGTACTAGCTGCCCTGAAAGGCATGCCTATTTTGTTGGCAAATTGTAATTTTATTATTATTGCTTAACGTTGTGTGTATCAGTGAACAGGGCACTTGGATAGTCAAAGAATCTTAAGAATGGCATGTTTCTTATTTATTCTCTCCCACCCCCCACCCCCGTCATGCACTGCTTGATCCATTCTTAATTTCATTGATTTCTGAGCTATTCTTGTAACAATAGTGTTTGTAACAGCGGCTTTTTACTACCATCAAAAGAAAACTGTTTTTCCTTGTCTAATGTAATTCCTATTTCTGGTCATAAATGAGCATACTCAAATAAGGCTACTAGAAATATAATGCAGCTTCTGCAAAGTATGCACAGAAGCGTGCAGCCTGTTATGTTCAGAGTCAGTAAAGAAGGCTGCGTGAGTCTGCTCTTGAGTCAGGCTGTGCATTTGGTACATGCATGACGTCCTGCCTTAGCTAATCAACCCCCTCCTCCACTCATGCAGTTGAGGATGATCATGTTCAGAGGATCCAACTGAACTGGGTAGGAGAGATTGCTGGAGCCATCCCAAGGAAAGTAGATGTTTTGATCCTTAACTGGTTTGTGCTCTGGAACTGAGGTGCAGAGAAAGGCTGGGCAGGTAGTCTGTAGTGGTTGCCAGGCTGCTGCAACTGCATGCTGGTTACTAGGCCTTGCCTAATGAACCAAGAACCCAGGGTAAGAGCAGACCTCCTTCCTCCACCTCCCCTACTCCAAGCTGTGCTTCTGTATGTGTGATCGTTCCCTGCATTATTTGAGAGCATCTTACTGCATGTGTGGGTGAAAACTTGTACTAGCATTGACTTAAAGAAATGAAGGGGAAACTTGAAAGCAAAGTAAAAATATATCAAGCTGTGTGGCACTTTTCTTTTTCTTAAGTCAGACATTTTTAAATGCCAACATTGTTTTACTCTAATAGCTGTTATGGTGGTTTCATCCTCGGCTCATTTTGAGTGGTCACACCCACAGTGCCTGTGAAGTGTTGCATAATGGGAAAATCCCAGAAATCAGTATTCCGTCATTCAGTTGGAGGAACAGAAACAATCCTAGTTTCATACTGGTAAGTTTAAATAGTTTTTATTTTGTCAGATAATTTTTCATAATATAAATCAACATAGCAATCAGCTATTTTCTCAGACTGATGCTACCTGTAAAAAAGCAAAACAAAACAGCTCCTCCCATCCTCTCCAAAAGTACACTTAAGTTGAATACAAAGCACCCACTTTATAAAGCACATACTTGCGTAGCCATCCTGCTTGTATAGTGCAAAGTATTTTTTTTTGTAGGTTTTACAAACATGTCTACATACAAGCTATATTTAGTATGTTTCTATAAAGAGGATGCAGTGTAGACAATTTGACTGCAACAATCATCAGTAGTCTGCAACAAACAGTATTAAGACTTGTTTTTGCTTAGCTGATTTATCCACAGGACCAAATCTTTTCTGCATGGTTCTTCTGTCTTTCAAAAGTGCAAACTTACTATCTCATAGGGCAGCAAAATTCTATCAGATGAACCTAATTCACAGTTTGCTTACTTTGGGTATCCTAGATTACAACTCTAAATAGATTAACCTGAAGCACAAAAAGTTTCCCAGTTCTAAAACACATTTAAATATTTATTCTTTTCAAAAACCAGTTCTGTGCTAAGTTTACTTTTTCAGCCTCTTGTGCATGGGGGAAAGCAAATTGGTTATAATTTTTAGTTCATAGATGAAAGTTATTCCTCACTCAGTAAGTAAAACAGTGTTAAAACAGTTGTACTTGAAAAGCATGTTGTCTCCCTAATTTTGTTTAGAGTGTTTACTTACCAGATAATCCAGTTTACTTCAGAATATCATGTTTTCAGCAGTTTGAGGAGTAGATGGTGTCTGACTGTTGGCCTAGATTACCTGCAGACCAGTGATCCCTCCCCCAACACTCTAAGTATTATTAATCTGGCTTTATCTCGTATGCTTTGTCACCCCACATACTTAGTGGCCACCATCCAACACAATTAAGCACCTTTAGCCTGCAATCCTACATAGTTATGTGGTAGTCATTCCCCAGGTCAGGGCCAGTAGGTGCTATGCGGTCTGAGTAGCTGCCTAGCCAAATAGCAGCTGCTGTGTTCTTTACTGAAAAAAAATATTTCAAATGGCACAAAATAGTCTCAAGGCAGCTCAGTGCTTAACAAATGGAATATCTAACATAGGTTTTAAAGCTGTCTGCATCTCTTATCCACAGGACAGTTGAGAGCACTGATGCTATGAGAGAAACTGAACTCTACTGTTAGTATAATTGTAAAGCATACAGGCTCCCAACCACTTGCCCCATATCTTATAAAATGCTGTTTTCCTTTCTTTCTCAGGGCAGTATAACACCAACCGACTTCTCTCTCTATAAGTGCTTTCTTCCATTCGAGAACACAGTTCTTACTATCTACTGTGCAGCAGGAGCTGTGCTTTTGGTCCTCGTACTAGCTCACTTTCACCCTCTCGTTACCCCTTTTCATTTTGTTCAGCGTTTAATCACTAAATATAAAGCAGTATGAAGAGTCAGACACTTGTAATCGGTCACTGACACACCAAAGCTAAAGAACAGTCCATCAGACTACATTCATGCCAGCAAATGCGTACTTGAATTGCTAGCCCAAAGGCAGGTTGCCTTTACATACAGAAAGTCCTATACAGTTGATATGACTTATACTACAGGGTAAGTTAACTGAATGCTTCATGCTGTACAAAAATATTGTATTCTACAATCAAATGAATCATTTTCTTGCTAAAGTTTTTGTATCAAATATGTATATTAAAAGTTTGTAACTGTACACTATAAGTCCTACAAGCCTCCTCTTGTGTCTGCACTAGTGTCCTATGCTGCTTAGAGGCTCAGTCTTTCTAATTGGAAATAATTTTAAAGTGTTATTGCTGCGAGACCATCTGGTGTGGTACTTCTTTTCCTTGATGTAGAGTTATTTTACAATAAGATATTACAAAAAAGGGCTATTGGGAGAAGTAGCTTACTGGCCTCAGAGAAGTCTCCTTGTTCTAGGTTAGATGTAGTTTTCGATGGCAGTCATCTGCCAATCATCAAAATCCTTGCCTAACAGGCTTGCAGAGGATTGGCTAACCAGGCAGAAAATTGAGGACAAACCTCTTAGATCTGTAGGCGTATTTGTGTATCCCACTGGCACGTGCTATGATGTCTGGCTGAAATTAATCTGTGGAATAGAAGGCAAGCAGCTCCTTTCTCTTCACACCCCCATTTTTTTTAATATAGGCCTAGTGCATCATTGCAGTAAACCATAGCAAATGATTTACAGTAAATGCAGAAATTTCTCCTCTAGCATGAATGGCAGCAACAAACCACAATCCCCTGGGTAAACTTGAGGATTGTTGTTTATTTTACTCCCAAACCACAGAGGGAAGTCAAGGTTTATTTCTTGGCTTACCAACTGTGGTCTGTTCATAGTGAAACATATCACAATCCTCAAGTCCACATGTTACACTAAGCCAGGACTGTGATTTGTTTCCCCTGCTCACTTTGTGGCAGGAGCCATCTTTATGTTACAAGTAAGCTATTAACTATGGTTTACCATGATGGGCAAATGCAGTAAGAGTGAAAGGCCTGATGCTTGGTATTAGTGATGCACTTTATGGGAAATGGTGTTGTCAGAATCTTGCATTTTGATCCTAGACACTTGTGTCTTTCTAACGTTTTGGAAACATGCATGGTTAGCATTACTGAAAAATCATTAAAATATATCCAACTAGCAGTTTCAGAGTGGAACTAAAGTGTTGAAAAGGGTCTTAGAAAATACAGTACCTAGAAAGATTACTAATGTGACCCCTCTGCAGAGTTACAACCACAACATGTCTGCCCAGTTGTCAGGGAAAAACGCCTGAGCTTACATAAACAACAAACATGCTATCCTCCTTTAAGAATTGATTCACATTGGGTGGTTGAAAATATTTCAAAGAGTAATTTGCCTTTAAATTTAAAGCAAAGGATGAAGATAATCCAAGAGATACATAATCTATGAAGGTATGTAGGCTAACACTTCTAAATTTTGTTATTGCAATTACAAATTTTAAACGTTTGTACAGGTTACCTTGGACACAGGAAACTATGTACTCCGACATAACACCTATGTATAAAATATAAAAGCAGTGTTATAGTACTGAGAAGGACATGCCTTATTGCTACTGCAATTCTTGCTTTTATATTATACTGTACCACAACTTATTTTGTGAATGTCATTTGCATAAATTATTCAAGTTTGAGAAATATCCACACATTGTGATTCTACAATATTTAAAATAAAACCATTTTCTAAGGTCTCTTTATTAAGAGAAATAAAATTGTCATCTTGTAATTCTCTTAGGCCAGACACAAGGGTTAAACCTTTTCTTCTTTCTTCCAATTTGCACAATGAAAGCGGCTGTTGCAACAGAGATTGAAGAGCCTTTATCTAATGGTGCTTCTACACATTCACAATCTGCAATTGTGAAATTGGCTATGAATGACCAAAGAATTACTGAACATAGGTTTTTTTTAAAGGTAAAACAAAATCCTTGGTTTCCATGAAAACACCAGGTTGCAATTTGGACACTTGAATCAATTTCAGTGTTTTAAAGCTAAGACTGAGAAAGGCATATTTGCTGCAACATCTGGTGGCAGTAATAACTTACTTTCAAAGGTATATGACTAAAATTTGCATAATTTATATTTTTTTATACTAAAGAGCATTTTTTTTATATAAACCAGAAAAACCCTAAACTCTACAGAGAAGTTTTTTACCTTCAGTCACTGCTGCAGGTAAAGTTGACATCAAGCTGTACAGCGCAATCAAAAACATACTTACATCTTAGCTCGTTTTACAGGTACAGCCATAATCAAGGCACAAAGATCTTCTACAAGTATTTATCTTCAATAAAATTGTACAAAATAATATTACACTTTACAGTCTGTACAATATAATAATAAACCAGCAGTAAAACAAAAATAATATATATTATATATATATATATTATATATAGGGAGAAGACTGTTGTCCAAAAATGATCTAAAGTAGTTGGATCATTTGTGGACAGAAGAAACAAAAGTGAGGGTGAATTTTCTGCCTAGATGCAAGTAGTCTGAAAAAGTAGCTCTGAATTCAAATGCCTGAGGTGTGTAGAGACTCTTTGCTCCAAACCTCCAGAAAAATTGCTCATCTTCCCTGTGCCTCACTATCTAGTCTATTTCCTGTGCCAATAATGGCTTAGAAGAGGAGGTCACCTTTGTCAGCTGACCTGCAACTCAGTTATGTTAAAAACTGTGACTAATATTGTGGTGCTGCTACATCACGCGTGTATATATCCTCAACAGTATATCACAACCCTAAAACAAAGTGCATTATTCTCCCCCCACCCAATCTATCAAGTACTCTTCAGCGTCACGGTAGAAAGGAAACCCATGCACACTGCAAGTATGACATGGTGTCGCCCAACTAGCAAATACCAGCTTGAACAAACCTGCTGGGGGGAAAAAACAACTAGCAGGCTATGTCCAATTAAAAACAAAACAAAAATGCAACCAAACCTAAGGAAACAGAGGTAGCCCAAGGCCTTAGTGGAATGACACAGAAGTGGCATATAAAAATAAAGCACACACATCGTCCCATAAAGCATGAACTGGGTTGAAAGGCTAATCAAAGTAAACAAACTGAGGAGGCAGACGTGTATCTATATAGCATCTCCCTCTTACTTCACATGAAGAAGTCAGAAAAAAAGATGATGTTTAAAACCACAGGCTCCATGGTGTTCTCAATTACAATAGTTCATACTGCCGAAGGTGCATTCTCTGAATGATGTCTCTACAGTCGTTGAACACTCTGCGGATGTTTTCTGTGTCAACTGCACATGTAAAGTGGGGGTAGCAGTAATGCTTTCCATCTCCAGTCGCCGTGCTTATTCTCTGCAGGGGGAAGAAAACCAATACAGACTCAAGACTTGAAAGGCACAAACTGTACCTGCCATTGGACAGCTATCAACACAACAGAGTGCTGCTTTGAGAAGTGGAAGGCAGACCTGGAGATGGCAAAGAGTGCGTGCATGTCCAATCTAAAACCAGAGGGTTACACGCATTAATCTTAGTTATCTGGTTCACACAAATGGGCTGGAGGTGAAAGGCAAGCCATTCTAAAAGGAATACCAGATAGAAGACAAAATAATTCTACGTAGCTAGACAAGTGACCAGGCATTTTCCCCTGATTTATAAAACGGGGACATAGTTGATTAATATTTAAATAACAGCTGGATTTCAAGCTGCTACACATTTTCTATAACTTTCAAAGATTATACTAAAACTCCTTTCTGGTCAAATGAGTTTATCGACAGTAAATTAACACAGCCAGTCAATGTTTTTTAAAGTGTCACTTACTAAAAATTCATCCCGGATAAAAAACTTTGCTCTTGTAACTTTGGGGTCTTCTCCTGCATCTGGCGTTGCTGTTAGGAACATTAAATAAAGAAGTAGTAATCACATGCAGATACAAAAAAGCAAAGCATGGTTAAGGCAGATTAGATAAGCATGGACAATTTACTGCCTTTTATGTATCAGTACAATTTTATGGCTAATACTGTCAAACGTAAGAACATTTATTAACTTCATTTCACACACTTAATCCCCAGAAGTCCCTGAACAAGCAACATTCCTTGCAATAGTAACATTTAGGTACATCATTATCTACAACTTTATACTTTCATCATTGTAATATACATCAGCTAATGTGGGCAAATGCTCTCTGCTCTCTTGATTACCGTCTAACCAGTGGCGACTGGTGCTCATTGGACCAGTAGGGCATAACGCAGGGAGGCCAACAGTATAGGTAGAGCCAGAGCCAAGGGCAGGTAGAGACATTTGTATTGGTTTGCCTCCCTGCTGAGTTCTATAAGGGCAAAACAGTCTGAAGGAGGAGGAGGAAGCAGGCAGCCTTTAGGGTGGTTGTGAACAGGTTAGGAGGGCTTGGCATCAAGGTAGGTTTGGTGGGGAAGTGCCCTAACACAACGCAATATGGAGAGGAGTTGGAAGAAAGGAATTGCTCAACAAAGCAACAGTTGTCTGAGATAGGAAGAATAATACACAGAACGCATTAACATTTAAACAAGTAGAGGATTTGCTCCCAGGCTATCTACATTTTGGTTGTGGCAATGAAACCTTCATACATGATTCTCATCTGGTGTAGTCACATGGAATGCTCAGTAGTTCAAGGAGCTAAGCAGTTTTCAGTCTAGCTTCTCTTGAGTATTTGTTACTTTGTCTGGTGGAGTTTGGGAAAATAATCTGGAAATTAAGAAACCCAAAGGGCAGGAAGTCCAGAAGCAAGAAGGCCAATGAAAGAGTGAAAAGCGGGCAAGGGACTGAGAAAGATAAATATGAACAAAAATTAGGTAGAAAATGAGATAAAAAACTTACTGAGGCAAAGGGAGACTAGAGAAGGGCTCTGTGCTTAAGATAATGTGGGAGAGTAGAGGATTGTTAGCAAGGCACCACAAGGGCAGGGATCTACAAATCTGACCTTGGTAGTCAGCCAAAATTTGTGCCTGCCAGTGCATCCCACCTCTGAGGGAGGTGCTGGGTCGTGTTTCTGATATCGTATTGACCTGCAGAGGCATTCTGAAATGTGGGGACATGAGAAGCTACTATTTGTCCATGTCAGTGTTGTCTTCACTGACAGGCAGCAGTTATCCAAAGCTTCAGACAGAGGAGTTTTTCTAGTCCTACCTTGAGATATTAGTGATTGAATCTGGAACCTTTTGCACTACAGAACTATGGCCCTCTGAAGCTGCATGCAAAGTCAGGAAAGAACTACCTTTCTGAGCTCTCCAAGTTTGGGAAGAGGAAGGGGTTTGCCAAAAAGGTGGTCTGAGGCAGCAGCTGTTAATTGCTTCTGTCATGACCATGTCAGAGCTGCAGAGGGGACTGGCGTATCTTGTCAGATCTTCTGCTCAGACCTGCTGCAGCAGAAGTAGTGGGTGCTACTGAGATCCCACCAATCCTGAGAATAGTTTGCAGCTCAGCCCAATTGCTGGAAGTTTTCACCACTCTTTCCTCCTTCCCTGCTGGTTTTCCTCTCCTAGGTGACTGCCAAGCAAGGCCACACTTCCATCTGAACTAACCAGCCTATTGGTTGTCTAAAGGTTTATTAGTGTTACTTGGAACAAAATATATCTTAACTTCTGCGTTGATATATTTGCTTTGATATATATGTGTGACATAACTTTATTTAAGGAATTTATGCATGACATTAAAGGAAACCAAAATTACCCTAGCTACTTAATCACAATGCAGATAAGAAACTCACCATCTTCAGGTACAGTGTAACGTGTGAATTCAGGAAAATAATCTTCAATTTTAGACTTCCCTGCCAAGACTTTTTCAGCCAGCATATCTTGTTTATTCAAAAACAAAATGATAGAAATTGTCCGTAACCACCTGCAAAGACCCACATGTTAGAATAATCTCATACAAACATCATTCAGTGTCCTAATTTCCAGCAGCAGCCAGCCAGTTGCTTCTGGCAACGCAGAAGCAAGGCAAGGAAGCTTGGAAGCAGGGGGGCCGACTTGCCCCCATTGAGGGGGCCTGGCATCTCGTGATGCGTCCTGCCCCCACCTGCCGCACCAGTGCTCACCCAGTGGTGGTGGGGGATGGGGAGCACAGAAAGTGATCTTCACTCTCTGCGTATCCCAGCCCAGCCCAGTGTGCCAGTGCTTGCCTGGTGGCAGCAGAGGAAAGCTAGAAATGCTACATACTGTTCCCCCTCCCAATATAGTTGCTCTGTTGTATGGGAATTTTACCTGTTGTTCCAGATACTTTTGAAGAGGTCCAGGGACTCCCGTAATCTGTTTGTGTTGTTGTCTTCCCTTATGACCATGTTGTAGCTGCTACAGGCCACGACAAAGATAATAGCTGTGACATCTAGAGGAGAACAGAACACCCAGAGAACAATATTTTTACTGTGTTGCGTTCACTGCCACAGTAAATAAACATGTTTTATGATGGTATTTATAGAAATGCAATCTAGGATATACAGACAAAAGGGTAAAGATTTCTGAAGGTTTAGAAACTCAGATCAATCTAAATTATGTACACTTACAACATAAAATAAGGGGTCTGGAAACATTCTTAGAACACATAATGTGAATATATTGCTTACCGTTAAAACACTGGATCCATTTTCTTCTTTCATCTCTCTGACCACCTACATCAAACATGCTGTTGAAAAGCCAGAGGGTGTTACGTTTTGGCATGCACAAGGAAAGTTACACTTTGCATGCTAAGTTGTTAAACTTCCAAATGAAATGGCAGTATTTGTTGCATGAAAAAAGGGACATTCCCTCAGAGCTTCCGGAAAATGTTTCATTTATATACTATCAGATAGTTGGGGAAACACAGATCAGTTGTGAAAAGGGGGGGAGTCTGGCTGAGAGTGCAAATTTACAAACATGTCTCAAAGGCAAGACCCAAAATGCAACAAGAAAGTGGGCCAAACAAGTCTACTGAGAAAAAGGGCAGAGATCCTCTATCTCAGGCATAGGCAAACTCGGCCCTCCAGATGTTTTGGGGCTACAACTCCCACGATCCCTAGCTAACAGGACCAGTGGTCAGGCATGATGAAAATTGTAGTCCCAAAACATCTGGAGGGCCGAGTTTGCCTGTGCCTGCTCTAGTGATTCATAGGACAGAAGGAATTAACTTGACATTCCTACAATACTTTTACAAGGCTGAGAAAGTTAATTCAGCTTTACTAGAGTTTTATAGGCACTGTTTAGAATGTAATCACTTTGAGATGCAGCATATCTTTGAGGCCTAAGAACATGCCAGAATATACCAAAATTTTCCAATGGGTAAAAGTATTAAAATGGTTCACTGGGAATGCTTCATTGCTGCAGTCAGACTAGAAAAAAGTATTAACAGCAAACATAGCCTAGATGTTAATTAAATTTCTCTTTGTAGTAGCTATCATTGCTTTTGTAGGTATCAAATATAAAAATTCAAAACCCAGGGATTTTAATGTGCTATTTGAATTAGGGCTCGTGAAATAACACTTCCGCTCTTTCATTATCATTATATAAAGCCTTGGAAAGACCTCATCTGAAATTTGAAAGTTCAAGGACCATAATTTACCAAAAGAAGTAAATAATCAGCAATGGCTTGTGCAACAAATAGAGCGGTTGTATACATTTCAAGCTTTGCTCTTCTCTTGTGCAATCCTGTTGCAGCCCACAAGGTTATTTGAAAAAAAATGGTTCTATAAATTTTTTTAAGTCAATTTGGTCGCCTCTACTTTACCATAATGACAAAAATTACAGATTACTACAGTACTAGTGTACTCACTGAAAGTTTACTTTATCTACTTGGAATCTTGTCTCAAAAATCCCTGATGTCAAAACCCTACACCTCAGGAGATCCTGGAAAGGAAAAACAGAATCAGAAGTATGTAGTCTTTTGGTTTAAAAATGCACTTGTTTATACTAGGAGTACAGGAGTAGCCAACGTGGTTCTTCCAGATGTTTTGAATGACAACCCTCCTCACCCCCTGACTCTTGGCGATTCTGCTGGGTCTGCTGGTAGTTGTTGCCCACAACATCTGGGAGGCATCACATTGTCTACCCTGGACTATACAATTTTAACTGATATATCAACATTTCAGTGCAACTGATGCACAATGTGAATTGACACAACTGTTTCGTCAGCTGGCTCTCTCTTCTCGGCAACTTCTCAAACTGCACAGTTCTTACCATATCTGGCTAAATTCCCTCTGAAAAGGTATGCCTTTGTGTCTGTGCCAGACACCATGGTGGCACGTGCCTCACAATCAGCAGTGAAAAGGTCTGATGTGTTTTGCTTCTTGGGCATCAGGAAATGCAAACAAGGAGTCGGGCGATATTTACTTTTTGATACTGGCCAGGATCTGAAGACCTGCTTAGAATCAAGCAAGGTGGAACTATTTTACTTTTGTTCTTTGAATGGCTGCCTCCACCCCACAATACAATAAATTGTTTTTAATCTCTCTCCCCCCCCCGCTTCAAAAGCAGTCTGCCACATGGCATGGAAGGGAAAAGGTTAAAGCCCCTGTTGTTCACAAAAACTAAATTCACCAGTCATGGATGAAGAACTAGAACACTTCAAAAAATGATGTGCGTTCTTTCTGTGATTGTAATCTCTGAATTTTAAGGAAGCAAACATGACAGAATTAACTCATCCTTCATCTGAGACATTCCCCCCCACCGAACGGTTTAAAATTAGTATATTTAAAATTAAATACTATGGGTTGCATCCAGTGGTGTCTGTGCACTCATGAAACAAATCTACCAGTAGAACAGGGACAGAGGCAATTTTTTGAAGCCTGTTCTGGAGGGTCCCTCAGGAACCCAGAGCAGGTTTCAGTGGCATAGAGCATGCAAGGGAAATACCAGACACTGCATTCCTGTTCCACTGACAGTTTTATTCTCTCAGCAGATGGACACCACTGGACACATTTTTTTAATAAAAGAAATGAAGATGGCTTACAGTTCACAGCCAGTTGTTTCCCACTTTACTCACCTGATCTGTGGGTGTGTAATCAATCAGACTGACACTGTCTATTCTTTCTAGAAAGCTGAAAGAAAACACAGCTGTTAACCATGGAAAATCTAATATATCTAAAACACCCAATAACAGCTGCCTCGTCCCCACTATTATGATGATACATATGGTGGGTAATCTAAGAAACATGGTTAAAGTTGCAGCCAAAACACCATTTATCCAATACTTTTTACAGTACAAGGGCCCCCAATAAAAGCCTATACAATCCAAATGTTGGATTAATTACCTGTCAAGAAAGATGTAAAAGGTGATATTCAGAACTTTAAAAAGCTAATGCAACAAACAAAGAAGTTTAGGCAACCACTATAACAACCCTGTGGATGTGCATGGTTTAGTGTATCTCTGCAGAAACAGTGCAGCACCTTCACTTTCTAAAATACAAACTTTTAAGAATTCATCATGAATATTTACTGTTAGATTACCCATCTTATTGGCCAACTAAGAAATTGAGTAGACCCCATTAAAATGGAAAGACTTGTCTACTGATTTCAATGGGGCTACTTTGATTAACGAAAGAGCTCACCTTTTATTTATATTTGTTGTATGTGGACCACTGCTTGCATTTTTTTGCTCAATTCTGGTATTTACTTGAGTTTTAAAATATTTCCCCCCGTAACCTATCAACAAGATAATGTGGCCTGCATTACTTTTAGATTTAGGAACCCTATGAATCCACCAAAAGATTTATTTTCACAAGGGATACAGCTATAAGCATAAGACAGGGAAGAACCAAGACAAGGCTCCTAGGAAAGATGTACGTATTAGCAGGATTAGCCCTGACTCATATTACCTGAATTTCCAACACATGTTGCTATGGCAACAGGCTGACTACCAGGAAATAAAAGTGTGGTGTTAAAGTTTTAAAGAAGAGCAGACATCAAGCAGAGAGAAGTGCTAGGTTATTTCCAGTTTACAGGAAATGAGAAGCTGTTGTTCATTTGCAGGCTTATACGTCTCTCCTCAATAAACCGCTTTAGTTTTGCAACAGCAGTGGCTAAACTGCAGCCTCCAGGTACCAACAGCCCCAGCTAGCGTGATGAAGCATCAGGAATGATGAATATGGAGTCTCAACAAGATCTGGAGGGCAACAGATTAGACACACACAGCCCTCCTGGTTTAGAGGATAAACCTAAAACCTCTTTCCCAGAATAGTAGAGCTATTGTAATTTGGAGTGCTGGCTGGATATGACTGATTTTCTAAGGCTTATGATGCCACTAAAACAGACATATAGCCCCCTTTCCTGATGCCATATTGTAGGATACAGTTGTGGAAGGATCACACTACTCTGTGATTGGAGCTACCAGCACATTTTCCTTTTGCTCAATGCAACTACAAGCACTTTAAGATTTTTATTTGGGCTGTGACACTGCTTTAAGCACAGCTGTTTCCCTGACTCCAATCACCTTTCAAAATTGCTGCTAGAGTGGCAACAGAAGAGGTACTCACATTGTACTGAGAGAAAAGAGTTAACTTCTCCCTCAGAACAATGGCCAGGATCCAAATTGGCAGGGTTAATAGCAGCAGCTCTAAGTGAAAATACACAACATTTGGAGATCTGATCACAGATCCTCCACAGCATATCTATTTTGGCAAAATCTAGTGAAAGTTACAAGGCAAAGTGAAGATTTGTTTAAGGTTGGAAATGGCAAGGTACTTTGTACTTCCATGCCAATACCTCCTCTGCAAGATGAATGTCACCCCCCCATGCATAGTAACAGTGCAGAGGGATGAGCTTTTTGGTAGAAAGGCAATAGCAGCCTCAATGGGACCCTGACAACCTTCCTTCTCACACATAAGCATTTAAACCCTGTGCATGACAGGTTGTTCTAAGGCACTTGTTTTTAAACACACACTACCTTTATGTGCTGCTCAAAAGTTCTCGTTGCATCAGATGTCTGATAAACTTCTAATGATAATACACCAACCATATGCAATTCTCCTCTTAATATATACAGGATATCTATGTTTGCATATGTTAAAAAAATTAATTCCTTGTGCTTTTTCGTAAAATCTGAACAACACTTTACACTCAAACATTTATTTGTCTAGGCATGAAACCGCAGTAAACAGTGTTGCCCTTGACTGCCACATAAAAAGGCTTAACTGACTTCATACAGCTTTTGTGAGAATCCTACAGTTCAATGAAGTAGCACATTTTCTTAGAAATCAGTTGCACAGGGTTCAGTGGCGCTGTGGTCTAAACCACAGAACCTAGGGCTTGCCGATCAGAAGGTCAGTGGTTCAAATCCCCACAAAGGGATGAGCTCCTGTTGCTAGGTCCCTGCTCCTGCCAACCTAGCAGTTTGAAAGCATGTCAAAGTGCAAGTAAATAAATAGGTACTGCTCCGGCAAGAAGGTAAATGGCGTTTCCGTGCGCGGCTCTGGTTCTCCAGAAGCGGCTTAGTCATGCTGGCCACATGACCCGGAAGCTGTCTGCAGACAAACAGCGGCTCCTCGGCCTATAGAGCGAGATGAGTGCCACAAACCCAGAGTTGTCCGCGACTAGATTTAACGGTCAAGTGTACCTTTACCTTTAAATGTGCTTAGGATCATGCCTTAAACAGGTTTGCTACTTAAAAAAGTAATCCATCTCAACCCTTGGCCACAAACATTCCTTGCTGCAAAGTGAGCTGTTTGTCCAGAACATAAAACCTGGGAGAGAATTTTGAATCAAGTTATGTGGCTGAGAAAATGGGAAGGACAAACAAGTCGATCCTGCCTGCCAACAGGGAACTTCCTTTCCCTGTGCATCTCACTGTGTTTTCCTTTATCACTTTGCTCTAACATGATCTAACGCTGCCCAATAAACTGCCCAAAACAGCAAACAGTTAGAAGGCTTCTGAATATATCTTAAATATTTCACATTTGTTAAAGAGAAAAAGGCCAAGATGAACAATATTATTTAGCTACTGACATTATTATATCTATCTTTAGATTTCTAAGTATCTTTAGTAAGTTGCCTTGGAAACACATCTGACACTTTCTTTGACAAGCAATCTTAAAATTTATCTTATGTAGGCAGAAAACACAAAAGTGCAGATTTCAACCTGCACTCCCCCCATTTCGAAAAGGTTTGGAGCTAAGGTTTCACACATCAAAAGAAAATGGATATTTACTTGTGAGGAACCCTTTCTAAACTGCTGAAATTGAAAAGCCTGGAGCATGTGCTTAATACTACCACAGAAATCAATGTAATGTGAACCGTTGTAACTGTTTGGTGTGTGATTGATATGTTTATAGATAGATAGAGAGATGAGAGAGAGAGAGAGAATTTTATAGAGAAAAGGCATGCTTTTTTAAAAAAAGACATGCATAAAAATGATTTTTTTATTTGAAAGCCCTAAACAACCTTGGCCCTAAACAAAAAAAAATTCCTTCCAGTAGCACCTTAAAGACCAACTAAGTTAGTTCTTGGTATGAGCTTTCGTGTGCATGCACACTTCTTCAGATACACTGAAACAGAAGTTGCCAGATCCTTCTATATAGTGAGAAGGTGGGGAGGGGTATTACTCAGAAGGGTGGTGGGAATGGGTGATTGGCAGATAGCTGTGATGAGCTGGAACCTTGGCCCTGTATACCTAAAGGAGTGTCTCCACCCCCATCGCTCAGCCTGGACACTGAGGTCCAGCACCGAGGGCCTTCTGGCAGTTCCCTCATTGTGAGAAGCAAAGTTCCAGGGAACCAGGCAGAGGGCCTTTTCGGTAGTAGCACCCACCCTGTGGAATGCCCTCCCATCAGATGTTAAGGAAATGACTAATTATATAACATTTAGGAAACATCTGAAGGCAGCCCTGTATGGGGAAGCTTTTAAGGTTTAATGTTTTACAAGGTTTTTATATATGTGGGAAGCTGCCCAGAGTGGCTGGGGCAACCCAGTCAGATGGGCAGGGTACAAATAATAATAAAAAATCCTAATCCTAATCTCAACATCATCTTTACTATTGAAAGAAATCTTAATACAATCCCAGTAGAAACAGTAGGTTACTTGTGAATGATTGGTTGTTAGAAACATGGTACCTTTCAAAATGCTACCGAGACAACAATCTTAAGACACCTGCCTTGGGGAATCTTTAGCCTGCTGGGCCTAATTTGCCTGGTGTATAGGACTGTTTCAGGCAGCCTTTTGAAACGTACCATGTTAGGAACAGATGTCCAGTGCTCCACTCAGCAAAATGAGCATTAGGGGTGGCTTACCACATTTTGAAGTAAGTACAGTGGTACCTCGGGTTAAGAACTTAATTTGTTCCAGAGGTCTGTACTTAACCTGAAACTGTTCTTAACCTGAAGCACCACTTTAGCTAATGGGGCCTCCCGCTGCTGCCGCTGCGCCGCCGGAGCACGATTTCTGTTCTCAACCTGAAGCAAAGTTCTTAACCTGAAGCACTATTTCTGGGTTAGTGGAGTCTGTAACCTGAAGCGCATGTAACCTGAAGCATATGTAACCCAAGGCACCACTGTAATACACGTTACCATCTAATGAAGGCCCCTCCTGCAAAACCATTAAATTCAGAGTCTAAAGTAACTGTACCACTGAAAAGATGACCAATCCCTATCTGAACTCTACAGAGACGCCATATTATATAGCCTTTCTATCAGGCTGCAGCAGAGTTGGGACTGCCGGGTCTCTATTGTACACTCTGCTGAAAAATCAGCAACTTTTGGCTCCTCCTTTCTTTGAACTGTTTCTATTCCAACTGGTTCTTATAAGAACTTGTAGCTAATAAGATGTGGTTGAGGTTGGATTTTCCTTCCTTCCTTCTCCACTGCCCAATCCCTTTCCCTTTGATTATGGATTATAACAAATAATTTGGTCACATGGACAAAACATTTGGTCACTAGAAAACTGCATTTAAAGTTCATCTCTGCTTTTCCAAGCATCAAACTCCCTTTTCATTATACTTTAAGCAACCTGCAGAGGGCAGCAATAACTAAACAAAATGTGTCAGCTCACATTACATTTGGGCAAACAACAAAACTGAATTCTAAATAGTTTACACCTCTGGTTTTCAGTC